GGTATGCCCAAGATGTTCAGGGACACAAGTGGGGGAAAAGGAGAGGGAGGGGTCTAGGGCGGAACAAGTTATTGCATTACTTTATGTGCGCAAGAGCGCTGGAATAGACGGATTCACAGAAAAAAAAAAAAAAAAAAGGACAACATGAGAATAAACTGGTGGACAATGAATGCCCAGGTCCAGCGGACGTTGCGACATTCTCGGCCGCCACCCGCCAGCTCGTGGCGCCCTGCCTGTCCGTCCCCCTTCGCTCTCTTCCCCTTTTCGGAGGGGGGCGCTGCTGAAATTCGTCTCTCCTTCCTTTCTGGGTGATTAGTTTAACGTTGGGCCCCGTGGTCGCAAAAGAATGGACAAGCGTTCCAGGAGGTGTGTGTGAACCGTGTGTGTGTGTAATAAACCTGGGAATAAAAAAACGAGAGTCGCGTCAGCGCCGTGCGTGCGTGCGTGCGTGCGTGCGTGCGTGCGTTCGTTCAGCCGCCTGTCTCCCTTTGGTTTTCTTTTTCTTTTCTTTTTCTTTTTCATCCTCTTTTTCCCCCTTCCATTTCCACTTTCCGACAAGCGGCTGCCTAGACCACACCCAACCCGGCAAGATTGCGCCGCTGGAAAGGAAAACTATTGCCAAGCTGAAATGAGCTGACCTGGAATGCGACCCCCCAGCCGCACGACGCTATTTGATGTTCAATGGATTGCCCGTGCTAACTTCGTCATCGCCACGCAGTCACCTCTTGCACCAGAGGCAGAGGAATAACACAATATAATCTCGGCATTGGCGCCCGCACAAAAACCCCTAGCTCACTTCTACATGCCTGCTAATATATACACGTACATACAACCTAGTCTCGCACACCTCTACTCGGCCACGCCCTTCGGCTCCTCGGCCACGTACGGTGGCGGGCTCAGGACCTCGCCTCCGTCAACCCAGACCCTGGCCAGCTCCTTCTCCACCTCGTCGTGCCGCTTCTTCCACTCCTCCACCTGTGCCAGCCGCTCCCGGAGCTCCGCGAGCTCCCGCTCCACGTTCATCTTCTCCCGCTCCGTACCGATCCGCTCAAACGTCCATGCGTCGCCGTTGTCTCCCATCCCAAGGACAAGGTTGTACGTGTGGTACTTCTTGAGCGACGCCCTGGTCGAGATTGTAACGAGTGCTGTGTGAGGGGTGCAACAGGTGTTAACTTGGTGTTCCGCATGATTGGCATTGAAGAGGGGGAATGGGCCATATGGGACTTACTGATGCCCTTATCCTTGCACGTCTCGTAGAGCAGTCCTTCAACGTCGCTAGAGACGGCGCTTGTGCCTTCGTCGATGAAGGCGTATTGCGGCTCGTGGTAGAGCAGCCTGGCGATGGCCAGGCGCTGCTTCTCGCCGCCGCTGAGCACGTCCTTCCACTCCTTGCGCGTGTCCCAGCCACCTTCACGGTCGGGCAGGTAGCCGAGACGTGCCTCCTCGAGCACGCGCTTGAGGTCGGCCTCGCTCTTTCTCTTGCCTCGCATATCAAGCTCGCCATCTGGGTAGATGACCTGGTCCCGCAACGTGCCGATGCTCAGGTACGGCCGCTGTGGCAGGAACATGATGCCGTCCTCGCCGTTCGTCTTGGGCCTGCTGACCAGCCCACGGTAGACTGGCCAGAGACCCGCTAGAATCCTGGCCACGGCGCTTTTGCCCACGCCATTAGGTCCCGAGATCTGTCACGGTGGTTAGCTCATGTCGCCATCAGATGATCTAGATGCTCGCTCGCTCCTGAACGAAAAGGAAAGAAAAAGCCAGGAACTCACCAGCATGTGCTCGCCGCGGCGGACAACAAGCGACAGCGACTCGATCATCTCCTCGCCTCCCTGGGGGTACAGCGCGGGTGCGACCACGGGCACGTTCTCAAGACGAACACCGTCGAAGCCCTTTTGCGTGGTTCCCTGGACGTCCGAGAGCGAGTAGAGCTCGTTGGAGCGGCCCCTCGCGTAGTAAGCATTGGCGTGGACGCGGTGCAGCGTCGAGATGAGGCTATAGACGCGGCTCGTGTACCCGGCGAGCTCTGACAGATCCTTGATCGAGTACATCATGCGGCCTCCCGCGTCGGCGAGCGACAGCATGAGCCGCTTGTTGGTGATAAAGTCCTTCATGCGCCCGCGCTCGCGGCTGCCATCCTGGCTCACCGCCATCTCTGCCGCTCCGCCGAGGCCTCCCCACGCCGGGAGGAAGACGGGCAGGGAGGACAGCAGGTACCCGTACGCACTCCAGCTGTATTTGAGGATGAAGTCTTCGAGGATGTTGTACTTGATCTTGAGCATGTAGATGCCCTCCATCCAGTTTTTGAGCGACTTGAACTCGCGGTTCAAAAAGTGCTTTTCCATCTCGGCACCCCCGTAAAAGGCCACCTCCTCCGCGTTGGCGATGAGACGAGCGTGTAGGGTCCGGAAATCGCCCTCCTTGCGGCCCTCGACGGCCTTGAGCTTTCCAAACGGCGGCGACAGCTTCCGCAGAATCGTGGCCGTGAGGAAGTAGTTGCTCAGCAACCCCGTCAAGGCGACAGGGCCAAGGGACCGGTAGAGCTGGTAGTTGAAGAGGCAGATGTCGACAAACGGCTTCCCGAGAGACGAGTACAGGTTCGCGGCCGCCGCGCAAAACAGCGTCAGGTCTTGCGTGATGAACTGGTCTGCTCCATGGCCAACTCCACCGTCAAGATTCGGCAGCTTATAGTAGTTCAAATTGTCGTTGAGATACAAGTCGTGGATGTAGCGCGTCAGCCTGGTGCGGAAGGCTATAGAGACCTTGGACTCGAGGTATTTGATCATGGCGTTGGTGTACGAGGCAAAGCCGCCCAAGCCACACCACTACATGGGGGGGTGGTTGGCACACGCCCATCATGTCAGCAAGACGGTTCATAACGGCGACATGGCATCACGGGTAGGGTACAAACCTTTACTATTCCCCATAGGAACGCCTTCCCGTTACCAGCCACCAGGTCCCGTACAATCTCGCCATCGAGTCGGGCGACCACCAGGGACAGGTAGGTCCGGAGCATCAGGAACACGCCGTGGCTCACAAGCAAGCCAGCCTCCTTGCTAGACCAACGGGGAATCATGATGCTCATGAGGCTCAAGAACTGGTGGAGGAAGGCCAGGTTCAGACCCGGCTTGGTCTGGGCGCCCGGCACGGAGCCATCGAGGCCAGAGACGCGCGGGGGGTTGAGGAACAGGCGGCGATGCGCCTCAAATGTCAGGGGCTTGGTCCTGTGGATGACCACCTTGGAGGTGCCGTCCTTGTAGGGAACGTATATGGTGCGCGAGCCGTCCTTGTGCGCGAGCCACGAGTTGGTCCGGACCAGCTTGCGCCCCTGCTCCTTCTCCAGGCTCCGGCTCCGCCACCACCTGCGGCCGCCGGCGCCGGCGAGGATGATGGAGGCTGCAAGGGCGAGGGTCGCGAGCAGCCGCGCGGTGCGAGAGGTCTTGTCCAGCTTGGAGCGGATGGCGGCCGTGTACTTGTCGAGAAAGGCCGCGATGGCCTGCTCGGCCACCGAGTGGCGAAGGGTTGACTGCACCGTCATGGTCGCCACGCCACGGCCTCGGCTGTCGTTGGGCCGGCGGACTGGGCCTGTCACCCTCGCGCCGAGTGCTGTTGCGGCCTTGCGGGTTGGCGGCGTGCGGCGTGCGGCGCGGCGCGGCGCGGAGGAGGCAAGCCGAATTCAGTCGCGACCGGCCGTTTCAGTGCATGCATGGATGGGATAGGCGGGCGTATGGGCAGATGGGCAAGTCGGCCGGAAGGGTCGGAAAGAGTGTGGTTCGTGTCTTTCGGCCAGGAAGTCTTTCGGCCAGGAACCGTGTTCTCTTCTCAGCAGTCTGCCGCAGTCGGGATGATTGGGTCGGCAGCGAGGCTCCGGGCTTTGACGTTGACGGCATGTCGTGTCGTCGCAACGGCTAGCATGTGACGCCAGGCCTGTCAGCCCGCGGCGCATTGTCCACTGTTTTGGATCCGAGGCAAAGCAGGCGCGGAGCCCCACCGCCAGCCCAGCCAGGGCAGATTGGCGAATGTCCTCCCCAGATTTCGGCCGGATTTGGTGACGTCTTCTGCTGCAGAGTCACATGACCGAGCGACCTGCCCGTGCGCGTGACCTGGCTCTCGTGATGCCTTTTGCGACAAGCAGCGAGAGCTGGGGCCTGTGAGTAGCGGCAGGCGCAGAAAGGCGGTAAGAAGTGCCGAAGTACAGTAGCATACCTAGGATGGAGGAAGGTACTTTCCTTAGGTAGCAGTAGCATATACACACGCAAGGCGGCGGCAGCGGTGGGTTGGTTGGTTGGTTGGTTGGTTGGATGTGGATTGGGACGACGATGCATTGATACTTTGTAGATTCCTCGCTCTTCGCTGTCGGCACTAAGTGATTCGACTACGTTTGGTTTGGCCGCCCAACCTTGGCAGCTAATCCGCTTGCCCGCATATCATTGACGTCCATCTAAAATCGCTGGCACCACGCACCACGCACCCCTCACCCGCCTTGCCGATTCCCAAAACAACCCATGTGCAAGTGATTCCGACTAGCAGCCCTGCCTCTCCTAGCTCGGTCAGACTCGGTTGGGGCTGCATCTCTATCGCATACTAGTAGGTGTGAGCCCGCACACTCAATGGAGCGGCGGGGCATGAAAAAACCAACCGGCCTGCTGGCTGGGCTGGAAGCGCCCACACCCTGCTGCTGGGGGAGACGTGGTCGGCGCCTCGAGTCGCCGGCTTGTGGCTCTCCGGTGTTGATGGCTCAGCGAGCCTCCCCCGTCCTGCCACAGCGCCCCCGCGTTGTGACTGGACGGGCTGGGCCTGGAGCCAGAGCACATCACTGCCGCGGGCGGCAAACGCCAGCCCCTCGGTCCAATCAGCGTGCTCGGGGCCGAGTTGCGATGGGGCGACCTTGCCAAGAAACATGTCTTTGCCTTCTAAATTGGGTGCGCTGTCGTGGTTGGTCCAGCCCGCGACCTCCCTCTGGTCCCTTCCCACCCTCCCATCCACCCGCCCGCACGAGCTTCCTGCAGGCGCTCGCTGTAGCTTGGTGGACCCGGTGGGGCTGGCTGCGGCCCGCTATCCATCTCGCACCGCGACGTTGGTTGGGTCGAGCACAAGAGGAAATGTGCTGGTTCGGTGCTAGCCTGTGCTAGACTCGGTCCCCGTCGTTGACGAACATTGACCGGTTGGGCTCGGGGATTGCTTCTAATGTCGAAAGGCGCCTGTGGCGGATGCTCCATTGTCTCTTGGAGTACGTACCTAGGTGGCTAGGTACCTATAGGTAGACGCTGCAGATGGCGGAGACTGCCCGGCCTGTCGGAAACTCATGCTCGTTTATGCTCGACCTGCCCGTCTGCCCTGCTGTGTCTGCGCCTGTGCCGTACGCAGCTCTGCACACATCACAAACACACATTAAGACGACGCATTGGCACGTTCGGGCACAACCCCCATGGAGGGCAAAACAAGGTTGCGAGCGGCTAACGCAGCCACGTGCTGTCGGGACAGCATGACGATTTGCATTCTATCTTGTCGCAGCTCAAATCTTAAAAGGTCAAGGCCCCGAACGGGCGAGGCCGCCGCGGGTTGCTTGCCATTGCGGGGGCCACTAGCCGTGACGAGGAGGAAGAGCACCAAGCGCAAGCCGAGGATCATCGCCGGTGGGTGGCCGAGAAGGAACATTGAGAGCCAGGGAAATAAAATAAACCGAGACGACCACCAGGCAGGCTAGCACAACTGCAGCCTCTGGGACTCATTGGCCCTTAGATTTTTTGGTGGCCGAGACAGTGGGAACCTATGCAACGATGCAACCCCTTTCTGTCCTTTGCATCTGTCGCCAGCTGCATGAGTTTCCGGGCAAGTCCCCGGCTGGCCATTCACAGCTGGGGGAGGTGTGTGTGCTGGACGGTGGGTATCACGGCATGCACTGCAGCATGTCCATCGAGGGGTTCTGGGCGCATTAGCAAACGAGAATGCTGGGTCGAGGACAGCTGTGCGTGCTGACATACATGCACGTACATACAATGGATGGTGAACAAACAGAGGCACGCACTTTCAACAACTATCAGTATATCTCGTTCCTATTCTTATGTATGTCGGTCCTTTCATGTCCTATTTCCTATTCCATCTTCTTCGATTTTTTTCTTCCTTATTTGTCTTGGTATTTATTTCCTGTCCGCAAGTAGCGTAGGTTTTTTATTTGGGGGGTAATTTAGGCAGGTGCTTAGGCCAGACTTCGAATCCGTCAGAATTCTCCATGCACAAATGCATCATCCATCGACGCCCAGACGAGCGTGACCCTTCTGGGAGAAATACCCATATCAAAAGAGCCAAACAAGCAGCAGAGTGCATCCTAATCCCCACGAACAGATGGTCCGTTAATGCACGGCGGCTGCGCATCGCAGAATCGCGTGCCCGGGCGGCCGTTGCACTACCAGACGATGCTCTCACGTCGCCCAAAAAGGGGAGGGGGCCGGCCTGGTCGGCTCATTAGCCTGGGTAATTTGACCTCAGCAGTAGAACCCACTCACACCTGCGGAATCCATCCACCCCAGCCCGACCGCAATTCGGATTTCTGTTCCCCAGGCCCAGCGCCCCATCTGCTTTGCCTGCCTGCGTGCCGTCCTGTCTCTCCCTCTGGGCCTGCCCGTCTTAAAGGCGAGCGCAAATCATCTCGCTTGTCAAACCAGTGACTTCTTCAGCCTCCCGACGCCCCCCGGCCGCTCTATCACCCATCCTCCTCCATTCTCGCCTGCTCCTCTCCAGCGCCCGCCTGTATCTGGCATTCTTTTCTTCTCGCTGTCGCTTCTAGATTTCATCTTTCAATTCTTCATCGCAAGAACAAAAGGAGCACTCCCACGTTTTGAGAACCCTTCCCTTCCAGCCGGCCCCCCTCTTTCATCCCGACTTTTGGCCTGACCTGTGTGTGCTTGCTTGCCGCCTGCGCCTGTCTGCCAGCCGCACCCGTCCTCTCTTGCTTCTGCTCGAGCCCGCCCCCTTGCCCAGCCTCTCTTCTGCTCCGACCGCCTTCATCTCGCACGGCGACGACGCGACGCAAAGACCGTCTGGACAGACTCTCTGCCCGGCTTCCTCTTGTCCCTTTTCCATTTTATCTGATTTTATCTCGCCCGCCGTTGCCACCACCCCGTCACTTCGCCGAGCGTGCGCACCCACTTCGGCAGCTGCCAGGGTCCCCAACAACGCTCCACGGGACAAAGCAAGGGGCCTTCCCAGGCCGTCGAACTCGATTAGGGTGAGTGACTTTGTCAGTGCGCGACCTTCCCCAACCCACCGCGGACGCGACTCAATCGTCTCTTCTCCTGCTCGCTTCGTCCTCTTCTTCTCTCGTCCCTCCCCAAAAGGCGCGCGCATTCGTCTGCATCGATCGCTCGAGACTCTTCGGCGCGCCTGAGGACCAGTCTGGCGGTTACCGTCAATAGCTTTACCGCCCGGCGGCTCTTGTCATTCCAAGTTGCCAGCACGAGTCTCCCGTTTGCCGCGACAAGACTGCGAAGCCATTTCAATTCTTTCTGTATCCCTGTTATCTTGCTATCTTCCATTTGATTTTCCCCTTTTTGCTTTTGTGAACTTTCTTGCATCATCTTCTTCGACTCCTTCTCCACCATTGTACTTCTGTTTCTTGCCTTCTTTGTTTGTTTCCTCTGGCTTCGCTTCCAGAACCGAACCGCAAGCTCTAACCGCCACCTGCCATTCAATTCGAACAGACATCTGAAATGTCTCGCGACGCACCAGTCAAGACATCTGCACCAGTACAAGGCTCCAAAGAAAAAGAGATGCTTGCCCCTGAGGATGGGACGGGTGCGAAGAAGGGGAGGGGGCTTCTGCACGTTCCTTCAAGGTCGTCGTCGCAAAGAATCCAGCCATCCCCGACGGCAACCGGCCTGAGTGGCGCGACCGCCGGCGACCCGAGGGACAGCGTTGACGGGCAGTCGAAGGAGTCCAAGGGGAGCAAGTTCGGCCGCCGACGCAACGGGAGCGCATCTAGCAACCACTCGGCTGTCGTCAACAGCCAGAGCAACACTCCAGCCAACTCCCAGCCTAGCTCGCCTGCCGTTCAGACCCCGAAGCGCAAGAAGGGCGGGCTGTTGGCGCTGTTTGGCTGCTGTGGCGTGCCCGATACCGCGAACGCCCTCGAAAATGGCGACCACCCGCTCCCGAACCACAAGGTCGAGAAGATACCCACTCGTCCCCCCACCAGCCGGAGGACAGCGACTCCGTCTGACCAGCCCAGCTCGAGCAAGACGCAGATTTACGAGAAGGAGCAGACGCAGCCGGCCCAGAGCAACTCCGACTCGTCCAGGACGAAGCGCGCCTCCGCCTCGACGAACCAAGACCAGTCCACCGTGGGTGACCGGGACGCGGAATCAAAGCAAGCTGCACAGCCTGGCAGCAGCGCTCCCGTGGTGACGGTCGATCCTCCTCGCCCGCTCGGCGCCGATGCTTCTAAGCCCTCCGGTGGTGCCAGTGCCTCCCAACCGCCTCCACAAGACGACGATGGTGACGTGGAGATGAAGGACGAGGAGTCGTCTCAAGTCCCGGCAGCCCAGCAAAACACCGACGAACTGCCCCAGAAGCTGCCTCCTCCGCCTCCAGGACCGATCCCTGGAACGGACGCCGGTAACTCGGGCTCAAACACTGAGACTGCCGTGGTCCCCGCGCCACCGCAGCAGCCCGAACAGAAGTTTCTTCTCCCCCCAATCCAGCCCCAGTTTAAGGGCAAGAAGTGCCTCGTCCTCGACCTCGACGAGACTCTAGTTCACAGTTCTTTCAAGGTATGTGGCTTTGAGAGCCCTTGGGGCTGCCGCCCCTGTTGCCCTGTAGCTTTCTAACCCGCGCCATTTTGCAGATTCTCCACCAAGCCGATTTCACGATACCCGTGGAAATTGAGGGAAATTATCACAACGTCTATGTGATCAAGCGCCCAGGTGTCGACCAGTTCATGAAGCGAGTTGGGGAGCTTTACGAAGTTGTCGTGTTCACGGCGTCGGTGTCCAAGGTATGAAATATCGGTTACATGATTGCGCACCGTGACGACCTCTAATAAAATTCTCCCCTTTATAGTATGGCGATCCGCTGCTCGACCAGCTCGACATCCACAAGGTTGTCCACCACAGGCTCTTCAGGGAGAGCTGCTACAACCACCAGGGCAACTACGTCAAAGATTTGTCTCAGGTTGGCAGGGACCTGAAGGACACTATCATTATCGACAACTCGCCTACGTCGTATATTTTCCACCCCCAGCATGCGGTTCCCATCAGCAGTTGGTTTTCGGACGCGCACGACAACGAATTACTAGACTTGATACCCGTTCTCGAGGACCTGGCCAGCTCCAACGTACAGGACGTTAGCTTAGTTCTTGACGTCACTCTTTGAGGCTCTTGTAGCCTGTTCCCTTTGTCCTTCTCGTTTACTTCTCTCCTGCCTTTTCTTTCCCGCTGTCAACACCCCGCAATAACACCAGTCTCTTCTATTGCAGCAGATTTCAGAACTTGTCCCTCATAGCGGAAGGCGTTTGGACGATATTGCTGGTTGCCGTGTAAATGCTCTACTGTTTAATATCCTATACATATCACGACAGCTTCTAGAGCGGTCCAGCAGCTTGGAGGGGCGCCAGCGTCGGGAACCGAAGCCCAAGTCGAGCCTGACTTCCTTTGGTCAGAGCAGGCATTGAGCCAACAGTCTGTGCCTACTTCTCTCTACTCTTTACCCCCATTTCTCTCGTTTGTTCCCTTTTCTTTTGGTTGAGCAAAATGTGGGATGTTTGAGCCAGGGACCAGGCCTCCTCAGCCACCTCCAAGCCTAGGCCTGGATTTCCTTGCTATTGATGGCGATGCCGGGCAGAAAATGGGATTGGGGTCCCTCGATCGACAATATGTCATATCACATATACCAAGTCAGGCGGGTTCTTTTCTGGGAGGGATTTCCTTGCTCTGGAATTTGTCGTTTTCATTTATTCTTAAGACTTCATTCCCCCCTGTTGGCTTCGACTCGTGTTTTTCTTTCCGCCTCCTTGATCTTCTTCATTCGGACGCCTGTTCTCGGCGTCCTATTTCTGGTTGGTTGTCGCCGGCGAAGTGTGAGTTGGAGAGTAACGATGGGCAAATCCAAAGACAGGAGAGAAGGAGGCGACACCAAGGCAAGATAGTCGCATGTAACGACCAGATATTCTGCAGGCAGACTGGGCTGGCGGCACGGCACACCTCACTCCCTGGGATGATCCGAGCAAACCTCACCCATTCTATGCCTGGATCAATAACCGAGGACAGTCCCGCACCGCCAAGTTACGGAGGAGGATGACATGTGGTTATAGCAGCCAACGTGTAAATCTGGTTTTTATATTACAGAGTAGAAATATGGCCATGTTTTTGTTCTTTTCGCTTCCTTGTTGGCAGTTTCAGCGCAACAATGGCCTATTCACTCCTCGGGTCTACCTCGCCTTCAACTTGGATGGCAGCTGAGAAACGGAAACGGAAGATTAGAGTCGCTTATGCGTCTAAGCGGGTTGCTAAACTCTCGAATAAATGCATATCACTTTCTCTACATTAAATATGGGCCTTGTACCCTTTCAGGTCCCTATGAATGGGTCAAAGGGGACCTAGGCTCAAAGGCAGTGGGGCCCCTGGCGCAGGTGGCAGGATACGTTGAAGGAAAATCGTGGCCTCAATTCAGCAGAATTAAAGCGCCTGGGATATTTGGCAGGCCACCGCACGCGACAGATACCCCTTGAGATCGTCACCCCGTCTACGAAAACCGTCCCCCGCTGCCTCTTCATTTTCTGTTCTCTGAATTGAACAGCTTCGCCACTGCATTGTCCTTCCTTTTTCGTGTTGTGATATCCTCCACATCCTCTTCATAATAATGGTCAGTCCTGCCTCCTTGTGCAATACCTGGCCCCTACTCGGCGGCCTCGCGACAAGCCGGGCGAGAGTGCCGGCAAACACTCGCCTAGCAAGCAGCCTTGAGACCCCGGATGCTGACCCTAACTCTTGCGCTCTTGGTGCAGTCGTCCCCCAGGTCCGATTCCCCCGTCAACGCCCCCGCGGCGTCGTCGGGCGCGAGCACCGCCCGCCCTTCGTCTCCGACTCCGCCCGGCGGCGCCAGGACCGCCATCCGGCGCAGGGCCGCGGCCGACCAGAAGGAGAAGATCGCCAATGCCAGGCCGAGTAGCACCCGCGCCGCCGGCGCCGGCGGCAGCACAAGCACCATGCTGAGTACGTCCTCTCCCTCCCGCGTGTCCTTGTCCCAAAATGGCCCGCCAATTCTGCGCGCACAAGAGGTCACAGAACGTCACTCGGCCCAGCTCAGCTCAGTTTGTTGCTAACATGTTCATATGGCTCGCCTGCGTACAGGGCTGTACACTGACGAGTCGCCCGGCCTGAAGGTCGACCCCGTCGTTGTCCTGGTCCTGTCTCTTGTCTTCATCTTCAGCGTGGTTGCGCTTCACAGTACGGACCCCTCCTCCTATCCCTCCTATCCCAATCGCACATTGGTATTCTTCACCAGCTAACGAGCCGTCTCGGTTTTTTTTATAGTCATCGCCAAGATCACTCGCAAATTCTCGAGCTAAACAGCTGCAACCGACATCACTACTGGAACGGGACGCGTCGAAGCGACCGGGACGGGCTGCCCGGTTGGTCTGGGTCGCGGAGGCCGAGGTGGCTGCGGAGGGAGGGAACGGACCGTGCTGCCTTCCCGCCGAGAAATGGACGGGCGTGGATCGTGCACCAAAGTCTGCCGCCCCAAGGGACCCTGCAAATATGGGATGGCGTCAACGTCTGCTTGGTTGAGGGAAGAAGTGCTCCTCGATGATGTGCTCAGTCCTCTTGCTTTTTGGGTTTATTCATGTACAACAGCGCGTTTGTCTAGACAAAACAAAAATGACGCCAAAAACGGGTTGTCGGCCATGGCACGACTGTGATTCGGTCGGGTGGGTGTCTTGTACAGTCTTGGTTGGAGCTGTGAGACGATCCAGACAAATGTCTGCAATTAGCTTACTCTTAGTGTGACAGCCGTCTCCTAACTTCACAAGCTAAACGGGTTCCGGCGGCTACAACAATCTAGATCTAACGGAGCCGGGATTCAGTTCCCCTTCTCAGCCGGATCTGCCTCGGTGCGTTCGCAATGCCGCGTTGTCGGCAGTGGCGGAGTCGTGATGGAGGCTCAGGCCAAGGCGGACGCGTCGCGTAGGGTGAGACAGTATCATTGGCTACGATAAGCATGAAGACGCAACCTTGAAGCGCCGCGCTCGTGTGTTCGGAAACGCCCGCGGGCGGCTGGGGCAGATGGCTGCGTCATCAGGGCGCTGCTGGGCGCCCTCTTGTGCGAGGGCCCAGAAGCTCCCGGCCTCACCTCAGTGCATGTTTGTGGGGCCCTGGAGCCCCCATCTTACCATTGACCCCTGTAGCATGGCGGGCACATCCCATTCCAAGGTGCGGGACAGGACAATACCCAACCGTTGTTCCATTCCATTGCCAGACGGCTTTGATGCAAAACGGTACCTCGGCCAGAAGTGGCGAAGGGTCTTGGTTGGTCTGCTTGCCTCGTGTTGCTTATTTTTGACAGAGCGCCAGGCCCTTTTCGTGGGTGCCTGATTCGAAATGGATCGCGTCCTCCAGCTATCTGAGCCGTCCATGGTGACATTTGAGTGTAGATCGTCTTTGTGGTCTGGTTGTGTCTTTTTGTGTCTTTTTGTGATACAGGTACCATTCTACTGGAAAGGCTTCTCTTTAAAAGACCTGCTTCCCCCAATCTTACTCGTCTGCCCGGGTGGGCAATCATCTGACAGCAGTGGCAAGTGAGGGAGCCCGCATCGTGACTGGACCGCGATCAGTGACGTAGCTCACCAGCCCGCCTTCCCCCGCCATTGTCTGCCCTTGCAAACATCTTGACTGCCCTGGTCGTCCACTCATCTGGCTCTCCTAGCCCATGTACCTTTGGGCTGCAACACTACAGTCTCGTTTTCGTTACATATTCTCAATCTTTTCGAAAACTCTCACCACCCTACGACTTGCCGTACTTGTTTACCTCGTGCCCTAGAGACGAGGCAGCCGCAACCCGCTATGTCTGGGCAAACGCCCAATCCCATGGCTCCCCGCAGGGATGGCGCCGACACGCTCGACGTTGACCTCGGGGCCGACAAGGAGGCGCCCCCTGCGTACGGCGCCCACCTTGACCAACTGCAACTGAGCCAGGCTGGCTTCGAGGCCGGCGCCACCGTCACCAGCGATGGCCGCGTCGACATCAACATCCACCAGACCAGCGGCAGGTTCAGGGACCTGCTAGCCCCGGCCCTGCGGTCCCAGGTCTTCCCGCGGGAGAAGGCCTCGGACCTCCCGCCGTCCTACGTGCCCCCGAGCCTGGGCGGCCAGCCCGGCCAGGTGCCGCCGCCGCGGCTCAACGTGGTGGTGCAGATCGTGGGCTCGCGCGGCGACGTGCAGCCCTTTGTGGCCCTGGGCAAGACCCTCAAGGACACGTACGGCCACCGCGTCCGCATCGCCACCCACGCCACCTTCCAGTCCTTCGTCGAGGAGAACGGGCTCGAGTTCTTCAGCATCGGCGGCGACCCGGCCGAGCTCATGGCCTTCATGGTCAAGCACCCGGGCCTGATGCCCGGCTTCGACGCCCTCAAGGAAGGCGAGGTCTCGAAGCGCCGCAAGGGCATCGAGGAGATCCTCATTGGCTGCTGGCGCTCCTGCGTCGAGGCCGGAGACGGCTCCGGGCCCGCCCCGCCCACCCACCGGCCCAACGAGCCCCTGGACGACCGCTACGCCTTTTCCGGGGGTCCGCACCGGCCCTTTGTCGCCGACGTCATCATCGCGAACCCCCCGAGCTTTGCCCACATCCACTTGGCCGAGAAGCTGGGCATCCCACTGCACATGATGTTTACGTGAGCCCTACCTGCCCCCCCCCCCCCCCACATATCGCCCACGTTGCACGCTAGCGGAAACTGACAGTACTTTTTGGTGGTTCAGCATGCCATGGACCCCCACAAAGGCGTTCCCCCACCCGCTGGCCAACATCCAGTCCACCAACACCGACGAGGTCATGACAAACTATGTCTCGTATGCCCTCGTCGAGATGATGACCTGGCAGGGACTCGGCGACGTTATCAACCGCTTCAGGGCCAGTGTGCTGGATCTGGATCCCCTCTCGCTCATCTGGGCCCCAGGCCTTCTCGCGAGACTCCAGATTCCGACAACTTACTGCTGGTATGTATGGCCCTGGCTTATAAAGCTTGTACATATGCATATAGGTATGATGTGTTCTAAACCAATACTCCTAGGTCTCCGGCTCTGATACCCAAGCCGAACGACTGGAACCACAAGGTGTCCATTGCCGGCTTCTACTTTCTCAACCTCGCTTCCTCGTATACCCCAGACCCAGGCCTGGCCGCGTTTCTTGCTGCTGGCCCACCCCCTGTCTACATCGGATTTGGCTCCATTGTTGTCGACGATCCAAATGCCCTGACTAGGATGATTTTCGATGCGGTTTCCAAGACTGGTGTGAGGGCTCTTGTATCCAAGGGCTGGGGAGGCATTGGAGCCGAGTCGGTCGGGATCCCAGATGGAGTCTTCATGCTGGGTAACTGCCCCCACGACTGGCTGTTTCAGCATGTCTCCTGTGTGGTTCACCACGGCGGCGCGGGGACTACGGCCGCGGGAATCAAGCTAGGAAAGCCAACAGTCGTGGTGCCCTTCTTTGGCGACCAGCCCTTCTGGGGATCCATGATAGCACGGGCAGGGGCGGGTCCCGAACCTGTCCCTTACAAGCAATTGACGGCCGATACGCTGGCTGCTGCCATCCAAGAGGCGCTGAAGCCGACCACGCTCACCAGAGCCGAGGAGCTGGGTGCCAAGATCCGGGAGGAGCAAGGAACAGACCTCGGAGGCAAAAGTTTCCACGATTTTCTCGATACCGATGGCCTTCGGTGCTCTCTGGTTCCTAGCAGAGTCGCAGTCTGGAGGGTTAGGCGCTCACAGATCAAGCTGTCTGCTCTGGCCGCAGCCGTCTTACTTCGGGAGGGTGTCATCAGCCAGCCCGACCTCAAACTGTAAGTGCTGGTACTTGCCAGACTCTGAAAGCCATACTATATATGGCATCCCGCTGACGCGAGAAACGCAACAGATACCGCCCCAAGGAATATATAACAGATGGGCAACCATGGGACCCGATATCGGCCGTTACTGCAGCACTCTTGGGTGATGTTGGCAGTATTGCTATGGCTGTCGCCGATCTTCCTCGAGAGCTATTTAGGAGCGCCAAAAAGGCCACAAGCGGGATTGCCACTCCATCTACACCCGGCAATTCCAAGACACAGTCGTCCAGGTCCGGTTCACTGGCCGATGTAGCTTCAGCCACAGCGACCTCGGACGCGTCCAGCGCAGTCTCCGTTCCAACACCGACTACGACAACCGGTACAGCGGACGCCCAAAGCGAGAAGCAGCCCATCTCGAAGGCCTCGAGTGGGTTGTCGGCTGTAGCCTCGGCTCAGGGGAGCACCACCAGCCTACCAAAAACTGCCGAGTCCCCGAGCCAAAATCAACCCTTGTCGCCTCGTGTGACGCTCAGCACCGCTATGGATACCAGCAAAGGCGTGGCACGAATAGTCGAAACGGGCATGAAGACTCCCATGAACTTCTGCATGGGCCTGGCTCGCGGCTTCAGGAACACGCCGCTGCTCTACAATGACGAGACAGTGCGCCCTCAAGAACGAGTCACGGACCTCAGCTCCGGGCTGAAGATTGCTGGCAAAGAGTTTGGATTTGGGCTCTACGATGGCATATCCGGCTTGATCATGCAGCCACTGAAGGGGGCTCAGAAGGAGGGCGCCGTCGGGGCCGTCAAGGGCTTTGGCAAGGGCATTGGTGGCTTAATCCTGAAGCCGGCCGCGGGCGCCTGGTCGATACCGGCATACGCCATGCAGGGCGTCAATGCCGAGTTTCGCAACCGCTTCAGTAAGAGCTGGCAGAACTACATCATTACGTCAAGGCTTGCCCAGGGCAAGGAGGATCTTGAGCGCTCCTCGCGCCAGGAGCAGGATGACATCACTCTGCGTTGGATGTCGAAAGAGTCGGACCTGAAGGGGTTTTACCAGCTCAAAAATAAATCCAAGGAGTCTCAGGAGGGATACCGCTCACCACCAGTCTCGCCTCTGCCCTCACCCGGGCCTTCAACCGCCACGAGATCTTTTGGTCAGTCTTTTGCGGCACCCTCGCTGGCGGCTGCTGCTGCCGGCCCATCGACGGCAGCCGGCGGAGGACCGCCGTCGTCGCGCGAAGCTCCCAAGACGGGATTTCGGCATACATGGAACCTTTCGTTTGGTCAACGCAAGCAGCTACATGCCGAGAGAGATGCCTGGACTGCGAAGCAGACGGGGGCAGGTGCCGGAGGAGTCCCGGTTCCGGAGGTGGCTCACAGTGACGAGATGGAGCGCGCCATACGAGAGTCGGTGCAGCAGACCTCCAAGGGCAATGCCGAGGAGGATGCCCAGATCGAACAGGCAATACGGGCTAGTGTGGACGAGTTGCGTCTGAGAGCTGCGGCAGCCGACGACAGTCGGAACTATGGATCCAAAGAAATGCCCTCGTCTGCTGCTGCCAGCTCCCCTCCCACGTACGATATCACGGACGAAGAGTACCAGGCTCTCATCGAGGAAGCCGTTAAGCAGAGCTTGCAAGCACCTGCATCATTCGACCCAGATCACAAATTCCCTGCACCGAGCGCAAACGTCGGCGGTGGCGACGATGAGGAGGGGCTCAGGAGGGCGCTCAAGGAGTCGTTGGCTGTTGGAGAGTCCAGACCGAACGAAGGGGGTGACGAGTCATTCAGGCGAGCTTTGCAGGAATCAGAAAGCGCACATCAGGAGAAGCAACGCATGGAGGCCGCGGCGATGAACGAGGAGGAGGTTGTGCTCGCCTATGTCAAAAGGCAGAGCCTCGCCGAGGAGGAATTCCGGAGACTGAAGGCCAAGGGCAAACGAACCGAGGGGGCAGAAGACGAGCAGGACGAGGATTTGAGGCGAGCCATGGAGGAGAGCCTCAAATCGAGCCCCGGAAGGGCTGGTGGGCCGGCATAGACGATCTGGGGGGTGTGCAACTGGGCCTCGTACGAAGAGAATGGTTGTCAAGGGAGTTATCCAGGCGAGTAAGATGCCATCCGTCCTGATTTTATCCACAGTGGGCGAACAACAGCCGAATACATGTTCCGATTACTTTGTGAGAGAGGAAGGAGACGTTGACAGATGCCACAAAAAGCATATGCGTGCATTGGTTCATGCGCCGAGGGAAGGCTAGGCTGGCGACTACAACTGCCATGGTGACGTGGGTGCAGCGCAGTCAAAATCCTCCATGCCCTGCCGAACGCGAATCCAGCGAGTCTGACATATCGATGAACCCCTGCACGCATCGCCGGGCCGAGGGAATCGAGATACAGAGCAAGCAGCAGTCGAGCTGTATTTGGCCGGACGCTGGACATCAGACGAGCTGACGACCACACCGCCTTGGTGGGGAGGAACAACCACTGACTTTGCAGCCGCCGGATCAATCCAAGGAAAACCTTGGGCTGCAGGTTGGGTGGGTGGCTCGAGCATGGCCCGGCGCATGGCCCGAGGCACGTCGAGATGTCGTGAGCGTGGTGGCTCCGGCGCAGCCGACGAGGGTACGCGGCTGCTGTGATGTGTGTGTTGTATTTGCGTGCGAGTGAGTGCCATGCGTGTGTTGGTTGGTTGGTTGGCACGTTGGGTGTCGTATCAACGTTGAGCCCCTTTTTTACCATTTTCACCACATCACTCACGGCAACAGCCCAGTGAGGACTTGACTATAGAGTCCACTATTCCCAAGCAGCAATCACATACACCCACCGCTTCGTCTGACTATCCCCGCCCAGCCCTGCAGAGCGCTGGCATCCTGACTATGCAGAGATTCTTTCGACTGTTCTCTGCCCCCGCGGCATTGGCAGACAAATCTTGCGGATGCCGTCCTCGGGCATAACTATGAAACCACAAACCACACCCTGGCACGCGGTCAAGATGGCGGAATCGTTTGCTTTGCTGTTCACCTGGGCTTGCTGGGCTCTCGGGTCCCCCTTCTTTCGTCTCTTGACTCCAGCCCGGCAGGCAGGCAGGCAGGCAGGCAGGCAGGCTATCTGATGCCGTTCCCAAGTTGCCGGATGGGTCCCCGTGGCTGGACCAGCTGGCCAGTCGCCAGTCAGTCCCCCTCGCCTCGTCGGATCCTGTCGCAGAGCCCCAACGGCCAAGGCGAAGGAGAGGGATGGAGAGCCATCCGCCACCTCATGGAGGGCGTGTGCGTGCGGCTGCGAGACGCAGGATGCAAGGGCGTCGTCGTGGCCTGGCCTGCAGAATACTGCAAACGCAGGGCTCTCTCTCTCTCTCTCTC